GATTTTATTTATTTATTTGACAGAGAGAGAGAGAACACAAGTAGGCAGAGAAGCAGGCAGAGGGAGAGGGAGAAGCAGGCTCCCCGCAGAGCAGGAAGCCTGATGCGGGACTCGATCCCGGGACCCTGGGATCATGACCTGAGCCGAAGGCAGCCGCTTAACCGACTGAGCCACCCAGGCGCCCTCTGTTATTCTCTTTTGAGGCCACAATTGACTTAGTGCTTTCTGTGGTACGAGTTAATGATGAAACCTGACCCATGTGCATGTCCTAAAAGCCAGATTGCAACATTACTTTTCGGAGTGAGATACTGTAATCTGTAATTTGAAAAACATCACCACTTGACTGCATATAATTCATGTTTTTCTTTACAGGTCACACAGTGTGTAATTGAATCTTTACTTCCATGATGTATTTTTATCTTCCTTCTTTCACCTTCCACTAGGCTTTCTGAACTATTGAACACAACTTCTGGACCCCTGATATTACCAGAGAGAGCCCCAGGGGATCTCTAACATTCTCTAAAGTGGACCTGTAGAGACTATTTCCCTGTGTGAATTAATCCTACATAAGTGTCTTCTACAATCTCTCCTCCTTCTGTTACAGACTGTGATTTAGGCCAGTGGGGTCTCAGAGTGCGGTCCACTGAACCCTGCAGGTGGGGTCCCTAATAGTCTTCAGGGGTTCCATGAGGTTAAAACTATATTCATAATAATATCAAGATGTCTTTTTCACTGTGCTGCTTTTTGCTCCAAGGGTACAATTGAGATAGTGAGTGAAAGTATTGGGCTCCTTGGAACAAATCAAGACAGTAGCATCAATGGACTTACATTTAAAAAAACTGTCATTTAACTTATTAATGTCCAGTAAAAGTGATTAATTTTATTAAATATTAACCTTTGAGTATACATTTTTTTTGACAAAACAGGAAGTACTCGTAAGCAATTCCACTATATAATGAAGTATGACAGTTGTCTTGAGGCAAAACACTTGTGTAATTGTTTGAGTTGCCAGCTAACCCAGGCACTTTTTTTTTTCACAGAACACCATTTTTATGACTCATAGACAAACTATGGTTATTTGGAGTTGCCTATTTGCAGAAATTTTCTCAAAAATGAATAAAATAAGCCTGCCATTTCAAGGTAAACAATTGACAGGAATTGCTGCCAATGACAAAAGTCCAGTTTTCAAGCAGAAATTAGAATTTTGAAAAACCTGTATGCACGCTGTAAGCTTGACAGCTTCCTGATACATAAAGGCTTTTCTGATAAGATCAGTGGTGATATTAACAAACGTGATTTTTAAAAATTGTATAATGAAATGTGTCATTTGGAAGATATTCACAACTAACTGAACCAGTATTTTCCAAATGACCAGAGCAAGATGTTATAAAGTCATGCACGGGTATAAAACCCATTTAAAGTGCAAGGTAGACTAATGGATTTTGACACAACAGAGTATAAAAAGTTCATTGATATGCTGACAGTCCACATTGCAACTAACATTTAGGAAACTAACACTTGTCAAGTTTTGGTGTAATATCAAAGAAAAAGTATCCAAAATTATCTCACAACACCACTGAAATATTCTCTTCTCCAACTACATGTTTATGCAAAGCCAGATTTTTTTCAGACACTTCAATCAAAACAAAGTATTGCAAGAGATGGAACACAGGAGTAGATATGGGAATTCAGCTGTATTGTATCAGGCTTCTGTTAAGATATCAAAGAGATCTGCAAAACAATGTGAAGCTAGGCTATTCTTCTCATTATAACGTGTTTTTGGTTTTGGAGAATAGGTTATTTTTAACTAAAAACATGGTATTTATGTCAACATGTAAATGTAATGGGGTTAATATTGCTTTACGTGAATAACTAAATAAATAGTTTATTAAAAATTTGTTTTAATTTCTAATGCCATAAATATCGATAGGTGTAACTCACATCCACAAAAGCTCTCTGGGGTTCCCCATTTTTAGAAGTGCAAAAGGGTCCTGAGAACAAAAAGTTTGAGAATTGTTGATTAGGGAAAAAAAGAAGATGAAGAGACCATGGCATAAAGGGAAGAAGAAAGGGAGAAAAAAGAAAGAAGTGCCAGTTGAGCGGGCATCAGGGCTGATGGATTTGGGCTCGTGACTGTCATTTTGTTCCACCGAGTTGAGAACATGTCACCCTCTGTTAGACAATGGCAAACACAATATTAAGGTAATGCTGGCTTTGTACATCAGCAAGTTCAACAATTGTAACCGATTTTATACATCGCTGAGAGGAAGAAAACCAGTGACTGCTGGTGCACTCACCTGCTCTCCTGGGAGAGGAGTCTGATGCAGGCCGCGTGGCCGCAGTACAGGGCGTAGGCCAGGGGTGTGCTCTCCTTGGTGTCTCGCAGGTTGCTGTCCATGCCCAGCTCCAGCAGTGACTGGACACAGTCTGCCTTCCCTGCAGCTGCAGCCCAGTGCAGCGGGGTCCTGGGGGACCACAGGGGAACAACACAAGAGTCAGAGCACAGACATGGCCCAGGTTGCTTAGCTGGCGACAGGTCCTGTTCAAAGTCTGGGCATGGCCTGAAACACATGTTGCTATGTAGGCCGTGGAAGTGGTAAGCATTAGATGCGGCTTCAGGATGATGGTGTGTCTGTCAGAGCCTGTCCTCTAATTCTAAGCATCCCCTGGCCTACTGCCTTCTCTGGCCTTCCTGAGAATGTCCTAGAAGAGGAAGTAGTGGGTCAAAGGCTGTGGATAATTTTCAGGCTCTTTATACACAGGGCCAAGCTGTCTTCTAAGAACATTGACTCAATTTAGCCACCTACCAGCGGGGTCCCTATTCCTTCCCTAAACTGAGTGTTATCAGAGCCTTCAAAAACCTCTGCCAGTTTGGTAGGCAAAATGATACTTCAGGGTTGTTTTCTTCTGCATTTCTTTAATAGTGAAGTTGAACTTTTGAAATACATTTTTGTCATTTGAGTTTCCTCACTGAAATGACTCAATATCTTTTGGCTGTTTTTCTGTTAGATTATTAGTTTTTCTTATTATTTATGTGGGCTCTTTATGTATTAAAGGTATCAATCTTTTTGCAAACATTTTCTCTAATTTGTTACTTGACTTTTAATTTTTTAGTGATTTTCCATAAAATTAAAAAAAATAACCATTAATCATCTCTTCACTTTCGTTTCTTTCATAACTTTATGCTTAGAAAGCCCTTCATCAGCCAGAAGGTAGGTATATATTCATCAGTATCTAAGCCTTTATTAAATTGTAAAACCAGTATTTTCTTAGGAAAAAAAAGCAAGAGACTGGGAGAAAATACTGTAATTTATAAATTGCCCTGGGAAACGCTCAGTCCTGAGGCAGGAAAGAAGGGCATGGACAGCTTCTCCTTGGCTTTGTGGTGGGGCCTCAACCTTGGGCAGAAGGGCAGCCAAGTGGGCTCTCAGACATGGAGGCAGCTGAGGGGCTCAACCGAGAAGGGCTCAGTTGGGGCTATCTATGAAGGTATATGTGAGCCTTAATATTTGGAGAGTAGCCTTGTCCCCAGTGTGGCCAGTGCCCCGAGGTGTGGATTGTATCTCCTGTCAATCAAAGCATCCTTCACCTCAGATTATGCTATGGGCAGCAATTTGAGACCACTTAATAGGACCATATTTTTTTTCAATATAGTGATCAATCACAGTGCTTATTTGAATATGTGGCAGATGTGATTCATTCCACCCTACTTGAGAGAGGTCTCCAGACAATGTTTATTATGAAATAGGATGAGGCACCAGCCAGATTATGCCATCCTGTTTAGAGGATATATTGCCAATAAATTCAGTAGATGAAGGGCTGGACATCAATTTCGTCAGGTTTACTAACACATGACCACCCACTGTGGAGCAGCTTGAAATATTTCTTCACAACAACTGTGAAGACTGACTGTTTTAATTCTTCGGACTACCAACATGGAAAAAGAGGTCCGGAAGAACAGTGGGGAAACTGAAAATATTTTTCAGAAAAACAAGGGGCATATATAGACAACTCCTAACTAATACACATAGAGCTTTTGTGCGCCATCTGTAGTATCCAATTTCAAGTGATCTCAGCTGTAATTCCTTTCTTATCTCCAAACTTCCTGCAAACACAGCAGACTGGTTTCAGCCATCACAGCGCGGAGTTGGAGGGTGAGAGCCCATGATGGAAGAAATTCATTAGGGATGGCCGAGGAGGTAGTCTCTGAATGGCAGGAAATGATGGCTCTGAGCATGCAGCATTGGTTGAGGTATCAGCAGCTATGGAATGATTTATAGGACATGTAAACATCCCCTAGAGAATTCCCAGAAACATGTAGCGGGGGGAACTTGATAGAAGACTATCTTTCCTGAAAATAAATGGGTTGGGTATTAAAGCCAAGTCTGACCCCAGGGGCTGATGAAACTTGGGACATTTACGCCACATAAGCTACTTCTGGGTCACATGTGCTGTGCCATCAATCTCGGGCTAATTTACACCATGTTTTATTTTAATTTTAATTTTTTAAAGATTTTATTTATTTATTTGACAGAGAGAGACAGCGAGAGAGGGAACACAAGCA